CCCTCCGCCTCCAGGTGGCGCTGGGAGGGCGGAGCGCGCGTCTGTGGCCGGGGGCGGGGCCTCAGGAATGCTGACTTCTGATTGGTTGGGATCAGGCTCGCTGTCTCTTCGCGTTCCCAGCCGGTCTTAGGAACTAGTCGCAGCCACTCACTGTGCCTGAGCGACGCGAGTGGAAAAGGGCGGGGGGGGGACCGAGGGGACAAAGGGGGGACCGGGAGGGGGGAGGGCGGGCTTCTTCACTTGACACAGAAAGAGAACATTTGTGGCATGTCCCCTGGGTGCGTTCGCTCCTCAAGGACAATCCTAATTTCATGTTTTTTTCTTTTTAATAAAGGCAATTTGTAAAGTGTATAATTAGCCGAGTTTTCCCTTTTCATTCCTTTCTAAGGCACCTCATAAATTTACACACCAGGAAGGGTCCCTGGTGGGACCTATTTATAATAAATACATCGTTTATTTATAAGGGGGCTAAGGTCTAGGGCCTTGCTGACCTTCCTTAGTGTTTTCTTCGCCTTTGAATGTTGTATTATCAACAATTCTATCTGTGGGTGTATGTTTATCTGCACATTTGACAACTGGTTTTTTTTGTTGTTTTTTTTTAGTTGGAGTCTATCTCTGTCGCCCAGACTGGAGTGCAGTAGCCGCTCCCGGCCACCACAGCCTCGACCTGCTGGGCTCCGGAGATCCTTCCCCCTCAGCCCTCCAAGTAGCTGGAACTACAGCGCGCGCTACCACGCCCGGCTAATTTTTTTTTTTTTTAATTTATTGTAGAGATGAGGTCTCACCAAGTTGCCCAGGCAGGTCTCGAACCCGCGGGCTCAGGCAATCCACTCACCTCAGCCTCCCAAGGCGCAGGATTGCAGGCTGAGCCACCGAGCCCGGCTGACAACTGTTTGTTAAAGCTCCCTTTCTGGCAGGCGTTGGTGGGGTTTCTCCAGGTTAGTAGTAAAGCAGACATGGGCCCTACCCCTGAGGAGTCCTGGACAGGTGAGAGAGGCAGACAGGACTCAAGGAGAACATTCTAGAACTCTGTTATGGGTGCTGAAGGACAAGTTGCTGGCGCAAGGGGAGAGGAGCGGGGAGTTTAGATGTGTTGCCTTGTGTGCAACACCAGCTGCTACCCCAAAGAGCACTGTACTGAAGTTAACTTCATGTCCTTGCAGAAGATTCCAGGGATCTTTTTTTTTTTTTTGAGTTGGAGTCTCACTCTGTCACCCAGACTGGTGGCCACTCCCGGCCACCGCAGCCTCGACCTGCTGGGCTCCGGCGATCCTTCCTCCTCAGCCTTCCGAGTAGCCGGAATTACAGGCGCGCGCTACCACACCCGGCTAGTTTTTGATTTATCGTGGAGATGAGGTCTCACCAAGTTGCCCAGGTGGGTCTCGAACCCATGGGCTCAGGCAATTCACTCACCTCAGCCTCCCAAAGTGCTGAGATTACAGGCTGAGCCACCTAGCGGGCTCCAGGGACCTTTTCTGCAGGTGGGGGAGCTGGAGGAGGTGCGGCCAGAGTGGGCCACTCGCCTTTTGCCTGCTTGGTGGGAAGGCAAGCCCTAGAGAGTGCAGAGCTTTCAGAATGTTTTTTTCTTGCTCCACATAGAAAGCTGTCTTTGGAAATGGATGTGTAAAGGGGACTGAGAACTTTGTCATTGGAGAAGGGGGCCAAAGAAAGGCTGGTAAACAAACAAACACACCAATGTGTCAAAGGCCTAGCGTTCAGAGCACAGGGATGGGCTGCAGAGTGGGGTGGGGGAGGAAGGTGTTGTCTAAGGTTAGATCAGCTGCTTGGAGGGTCTGGCCCAGTTGGCTGGCCATGGTGGGATGTGCCTGGGAGGTCATACCGCTAAGGCAAGAACGTTTTTCTGAATTGGAAACCTGCCGGAGAAGTTCCCTGCCAAGTCTCATTGTATGTTTTCTCTTTGTTCACCTAAAACATCGCCAGTGACTGCACAACAGGGGCAGAGTCCTAGAGGGCCAAGGTGCTCACACACTGCCCCACCACCATGCTTCTCTCTACATCTTTTTCCTCTAGAGCATTTTCCACCTCCTGACATTATAGAATGGTTTATTGTCATCTCCTGCAGTAGAAGGTCAGCTTCCTGAAGGCAGGCACCTTGTCTGTTTCTTTCTCTTTCCCAGGGCCTAGAATATGCCTGGCACACATTGTAGGTGCTCAAGAGATATCCGTTAAATGAATGAATGAAGAAGAGGATTCTTTTTATTATTATTTGTTGAGTCAGGGTTATATTAAAATGTGTAAGACACCTGGAGTGGGGCTGGGCACAGAGCAAATGATCAGTCGCCCAGGCTGGAGTGCAGTGGCATGACCCCAGTTTACCACAGCCTCAAACTCTTGGGCTCAGACGATCCTTCTGCCCCAGCCTCCTGAGTAGCTGGGACTACAGGCGCACACTACCATGCCCATTTAATTTTTTTGATTTTGTTGTAGAACCAAGGTCTCAAACTTCTGGGCACAAGCAATCCTCCTACCTCAGCCTCCCAAAGTGCTGAGATGATAGGCATAAGCCACTGCACCTGGCCAGCAGATGCTTCTTGCTCAGTAGAGAAATCTCCCTCTGTCTAAGCATAGACTGCACGGAGCCCAGTATCTCTGGAGGATAAACTGCTCTGAGAGGGCTCTCTTTAGTATAGGGCAAACTTAGCCCCTTTGCCCTGGGAGAAGGTTGGGACCAGACTTTGGTGTTTCAGAGGCTTGAAAACACTGTCCATCCACTGAGGGGGCAAGCAGTCCCAAGGAGGGTGTGTGTATACTAGGTGGTGAGAGTGAGGTCTGCAAAGTGGCCCCACGCCCCATCCAGTCCCAGTCCTTACCTGGCACTCCAAGGCCAGCCTCCACCCCAGAAGCGTTTTTTTCTGTGATCTGCAGACCTCAGTCAGGGTAGAGATTGGCTCAGTGCTCCCAGCCCCACCCTGTGACCTCTCTGGATGGCCCCCCATGCGTCTGTGCAGGGGAGAATCAGTGCCCCAAGTCTAAGCACCCTTGCCAGGCCTAGGGAGACTCCACTGGGGTGACTCTCAGCCACTTGGCACTGGACATAGGGCTCAGGCCCTGGCAGCACCAGGTTCCCACATCCCCACTGTGGCAGCCCCCCACCTCTGCCGCCTAGGTGCCCAGGAAGGACCTGGCCGGTGTGGCCAGTGCAGCTTGACCCGTAGTGTCCACTGGGTGATGCAGATACTAGTGTCACAGGAAAGAAGGTAGGTAATGGCTACTGATCATTTGCTCTGTGCCCAGCCCCACTCCAGGTGTCTTACACATTTTAATATAACCCTTAAGACGACTATATCGACTGGAGTTCTCTTCACTACCATGTGGAGAATAAGGCTGGGGCCTGTCTGAGGTCATGCTCCAGAAAGCTGCAGTGTCAGGATTCAAATGCAGGCATGCCTGTCCTCCAGAGCTCATGTTTTTCCACTGAACTCCATGACTGCCTGGAAAGGCAGGGGTGAAGGCGAGGGGCCTTAATCAAGCCTCAGCAGAGTGGTGGGGGGGAGGGAGAGAGAGAGAAATAACCCCAGAGAAAAAGGCAGAGCCCTCACTGGTGAGGACTCTTGGGAGAAGACAGGGGTAG